ACTCCAACAGATTTGGCTACCTTAAGCCAAATGAAAGTTCATCCAAAGAAACCATAGAAAGAGCAAAAAGTCGTGAAATGGGAGAAGACAGATGCCACAAGGCCCCGATGATCCCAATCTGGAACACACAGAGACCCTGAGCAAAAACACAGGAGGTTGTAGCACCAGCGCTCAAGTCTCCTAGTAATCAGGAAGTATAGACACTGTACACACCCACTTGGCAGAAATGGTACCTGACAAGGCCTCAAGGAGTTCTTGGCACAGCTGACCTGGGAGTGATGGGCTTTGTCTAGTACAAATATGCATGTATATCTTATGACCAAGAAATTACAATCTTTTATGATACTTGCTTCAAGACAGGCCCTGTCCTACTAATACGTGTTCCCATATGTCACCACCTTGGTTTAGTTGTCTCAACAACCTCAGGGTAGATACTATTATTATCACATTTTACAGATAGGGATGATACAGAAAGTTGCAGGTGATATGTTCAAACGTTATGATGACACCAGTGTCCTCTAGGAATTTGAAGGAACAGAGGGAAGTTTAAAAGCCATAGAAATGAGCAAACTGCAGCTTTTGAGCACTAATAAAATGGAGTTCAAACCACAGGGAGGGAAGTATCACATAAAATATACTAGTATATGGCTACCCGGCTGGTGTGTGAGGGCACATGCCAGCATTGCAAGCTTGATTGTGCATGTCTGCATGCACGCAGGAAGGTAACCAATCATTTCCCTCTCAGATGTTTTTAATCTATCTCCCTCTCCCTTCCTCTAAGATCAATAAAGACATAGTATTAAAAATATATATGTGGCTGATTCCACTTACACCAAGCACCTCAAGATTAATTAAAAATGAATCATAGACCTAAATATGAAAGCAAAAACCCTCAGGCTTCTAGAAGAAACAAGAGATCTTTGCCACTTCGGGGTAGACAAAGATTTTTTAGGAACCCCCAAACACTAACTATTCAAGAAAAAAATATGGACAAACTGGAAACTATTTTCATTAAAATCCAAGAACTTAGGTTTACTAAAAGACACTGCTAATGAAGAAGCAAGCCTTGGCCTAGGAGTACATGTTGACAAAACATTCCTGCTGAAGGATTTGAATAGGGAATAAGAACGCCTACATCTCCACAAACCGAGCAGCTGCTGGTTTCCAGTGGGCTGGCTGGAATGGGGAAGCCCACATCTGGAGTAAGCCCCTTCTCCCACCCAAATCACACCGTGAGCACATCACCCCCTACACACACACACACACACACACACACACACACACACACACACACACCACAGCAGAGTTATGTAGACATGATACAGTAAGGAAAGGGACATCTCCCACCAGACACTGCAGCATCTCCATGTAGCTTTCCAAGAAATATTCTTTGCATACATAAGCTTGTTTACATCCTTATCACATATTTAAAAAACAAAACATGGGTTTTATGTCTTCTCTTTCTCTCATCTGAAATGCCCAGCAGCAGAGATTCCTCCCTTTGCTCAGCTTTCCAGGGGAGGCCCCACGAAGCAGGGCCTGTTGGGGGACACTTAGGTGTTTTCACTGGCTGTTATAGACAAAGCTGCTGTCACTACCTTTATCGGATGTGACTTTAGGCTAGCAAACAAGCTCCCAGCACACCAACTATTGTAATTAGCCCCTCGGGAGGCTGCTCTCATTGGAAGGTGAGGAAGCCTATTACCCATATCTTTATATCTTTGCCAGCACCATGGTGTTTCAGTTTTTACCTCTTGCTGCCAAAGTGTTCATATATGATCACAGACTGAGCGGCTTAAACAAAATGCATGCATCATCCCAGGTTTGAAGGTCAGAAGTACGCTTGGGTCTCCCTGGGTTGTGATCTAGATGTTGGCACACTACCCTCCTTTGGGGCTTGTTTCCTGCTCCTTCAGGTGCTGGCAGAATTCAGTTCTTCAGTGCTGCAGAACTGAAGTCCCTGCTCTCTGCATGGCTGTCATCTGAAGGCCATTCCCAGTGTCTGGTAGGCACTGCATTTCCTGGCTTGCGTCTCCAACCCTGCATCATACCTCTGACCAGCAAGGAAATGGTCTCTCCTTGTAAAGATTTCATATGTCATCACCACCTTGTTAGCTGTGCCCACCTGGACAATCCAGATCTGCTCCTTTAGTCACGAAAGTCCCTTCTGCCATGTAAGGTATCATGTACCCAGGTACCGGTGACTAGAATGTGGGTATTCTTGGGGGCTGTTACTCTGCTGGCATTGTGTATTCCTGTTTTTTTTGTTTTTGTTTTTTATCTGCCCCATTTCCAGCTAAAGGCAGTGTGGGTGTACACTGCACAGTGACCACAGATCACGACAGTAGCCCTCACTGTGCCCAACAGATCTCTTGAAAAGCTGCCCCTGTGCCAGGGGCCAATTTGCTCCCTGGCAACAATGGCCTCGTCTCATGTTTTCATTTGGAGCTATGGCTGGCTGTAGAAAGCTACTGAGCTGAAGGGGCGGATCTGAGAGGAGACACAATCAACCCCCTACATACTTTTAATGTGCCTTCGAGTAGGGATGTGGTGTAAAGGAGACTGCATGGTGAAGAGGCCAGTCGCACAGGGAGAGCAAGGCCACCAGCTCCCTGTCCCCAGTCCCAGGATTCAGCCTGACAGGGTCTTGAGCTTGCCACATGGCCTATTTCTACCCTAGTGACCTCACTCTGGTATATTTAGAGCCTAAGTCCCCATACACTCCTGAACCAGCAGTCCCCGCAAAGCAAGCCCAGCAGCACAGAGTGTCCTTGTCCTTGGGCAGACACTGTCCCACTGCCAGAAAGGAGGGAGAGGCAGAACACCTGGGCAGCCTGGGACTGGCAGCCGCAGACACCCTGCAGCCAGGACCCTCGGAAGCTTCACAGGAGCTAAGACAGGTTAGGCCTACAGGCTTTGCCATAACTTGGGTGGTGTACAGAGAGTGCCTTCAGCCCTGTGGAAAATGTTACCCCTGCCTCCCTCCTTCTGCCTTCGCTTCATGGAAGTTCGGAACCTCCCTGAGGGCTCACCCCTCTGGCTCTGCCCCCCTCTTGGCCATGACAGGGCACTGAGCACTGTGTGGGAAGCAGTACTTGAACATTCCAGATAGAGTCAGTCTGCAGACCTTGAGAAATGCTACCAGGCGTCTGTCCCTGAGCCCTGGCCTTACCCCACTGGACAGGCAAGAATCCTGGAGGGTCTGTGCAGCATCAGATCAGGCCTCTGGTCTCAGATCTAGTTGGCAGTGTACCCTAGCCAGCCTGTTGGTAGGCAGTGGCCTGACCACAGACAGAAGGCTCCTGAACTTGTATTACCAACCAACACACCCACCCACCTATCCAGGAGCAGCAGGCCTCTCACCCTGGATAGAGAGGGCCTGTGGGTAGCAGAGACACCTAGATAACATGCCATTGGGGGGGGGGGAGGTCTCTCTTATACAGGCTCCAGGACAAAGCCCAGCAATATATGCTCAGGGAAAGGATGTGGGTGTCAGCTGGAAGGCAGGCAGGCATGCCTGTGGCAAGGACATCATCTGAGTGGGGTCTCCTACAGCAGAGGTCCCAGGGCCTTGTAAAAATAATGAGAAGGCAACAGAGCCTGGAGAGGGGAGAGGGAACCAGAGTGAAGAAAGTGGTATGAGCGAGGATGCCAGGAGAACATAGCCTGCCTTCTATCAACTCCAGCCCCAATGGGAGCTGACGGCTACTATCATCCAAAGACCATGTACGTGTCTGCATGAAAACACATGTTCTCATCACCACAGCACATCTCATCATGCTCCATCCTGCATGGGGAGGGAGACTGAATTGTTTTTGGAATAAGTCTGCAGGCCAATGCTGAGGGCTACATGCAGCCCACTGTTGTCATGGATGCCTTGGGAATCTTCCCAGTAAAACAAAAGCACACACCTCAAAACCATCAGCCAAGCGGCTTTCCCAAAAGGGGCAGAATCCACACACCAGGGAGTCTGAGCACTGTAGCCTCTCATTTCCTCATTAGGGCTCCCACAATACATGCAAACTAATTTGTATTTCCTGAGCAACTAGTGAGCCGAGTATCATGTCCCTTTTCTGCCAATGATGACTTCCTGTGTGCACTGCTCACATTCTCAACCCATTTGTTTTCTGTATTTACTGGCCTCTTTATTGGGAATAAATATTGCCCAGTCATGGAACCCCCAGTGTGGTGGCATTTGCTCCACACACAGATACCTAAATGTCCTCAGGGGAGGTACTAGATGGGGCAAAGCTACTCTGGAATGGCAGAGAGCGGGCAGGGCAGGCCACGCGATGGGGAACACTCAGAGAAGACCTGAGGTGTCCATTGCAAAGGAAGGACAGAAGTCATCCTGGGTGTGACACAGGTGTCTATAAAGTTACCCATGACTATTGGTGGGACTAACTCCATAACCACCTTGCTGATGGTGTTTATATTGGATTCAGACAGCTTGAACCTGGTTGTTCATTCAGGTGTCTCCAGCATCAAACATGCAGGCAACCCCTAAACTAAGGCACCTCCTGGCTTCGGGCCAGGGAGGGGAGGATGCTCCACACTGCCAACCCAGTTCCTGGGCTCTTAAGGGTTCTAATGGAGACTTCCCACACATGAGAACCAAGAGTAGGCACAAAGGAAGTAAAACAGCCTTTGTCCTCAGAAAGCCCCTCAGCATCTAAATTACTACTCCAGCCAGCCCAGCTAGAGATATTTGCTGCTCGACTCACAGTGAGCAGGAAGCAGGGGGTTGGACACACACAGGCAACAGCCCAAGGCAGAAGAGCACAACCCTCAGAAGCAGTCTGAACAAAAGTCTGGATAATGCCAGTGCTGGGTACCACCACTCCTGCTCAGGTGACGTCCCTATGCTCCTACACCTGGGTAACGTGGGAGCAATGGAGGAACCTGCACAAGACTCCACAGCATGCTACATTCCATGTGAACATCAAAGGTACACTGCTCATCCTAATCTTTAATGACATATTTCTTACTGTTTACTAAAGATATGATGCCAACTGAAACTTGCTACAAAATAACCCACTTGGGTATCTGTTGGAGGAAGCAGAACAAAGGAAACAATGTTGATTTGGTAAGTAAGATTTTAAGTTGGTATCTACTGATGCCAGGATGGTTACAGTATTCTTATTTTATGTTTGAAATTTACATAATCTTTAAAAAGTTTAAATACACATATTTCCTTACATTTGGATGGGGTACTTCACTAGACCTGGAATGTCAGGGCAGCTGTGTGGCGGTGAAGTGATCAGATAACCATTTTCCAATTCCTCACAGTGGCTTTGTGTTGCACCACCTGGTGCCTGTGTGGGGAGGAGCTGAGGATTAAGTGGTTCCACAGTGAGCCTGTCTCCTGCAAGTTCAAACTATCTTGGGTTCACACTACCAGGCACATGGTGCCAAAACAGCTTGCACTCCTGGGGAAGAATGGAGCTTGGGTCCGGGTTTCCCTGCTAAAGAGCCCAGAAGGCCAGAACTTTGCTGAGCAGCTCCTTCATGCAGGAGAGGCCCACCTGCCTCAGCCATCACACACTGAGTGGGAAGTGCTTCAGAGTCCACAAGGGGCTCTCCAGAGAGTGTCAGCCATGAATGGAAGAGTCCGCAAGAAGGATCCCTGGCTTTTGAGGCTATGGTCAATCACGAGCCACACAAAAGCCCTTGTCCAACTATGGATGCCATCGATCTATTTCAGGGATAGGTAGGTAAACCCCATGCCCTCAGTAATTACCATCCTTGGGGGGTTAAGGGGGACTTCCATCTAGATGCGAAACAAAGAACCGAGACACCAAACTTTGGTGTTTGTGAGGTCCTTGGTTCACAGCTCCCTTTTCTCCATGCTTCAAGGGGCACCACTCCACCAAAAATACCGAATGTCTTGGTCAATAAGCTGGATATGTACAGCTGTGATAAAAATGGGGAAACCCTGCACTCCCTGAAGTCTAAGCACTGATGGGACCACCTGGCCTGACTCTCACAGGACCACCACTTGTTGGGTTCCTCCAGGGGCCAAGCTCTAGTTTTTTATCCTTCCTTGAAACCCCACCTTACAGATAAGGAAACTGAGGGTCTAGGGATCATCATGCAGCTGGAAGTTTGTGAACTTTGGCCTCGTATCGGCATCCCATCCATAAACTCTCTCCAATCCACTACACAACAGGGAAATGCACAGGTTACAAAGAGCTCCTTGAAGCCACACAGGGCCTGCAGCTTCATGCCCAGCAGCACATTCAGATAGTCTCCAGGCTGCCTCTGCCTTCCTCCCTAGAGCCAGGGAGACCCACACCCTCCCACCAAAGCTGAGGTTTTAGTCCACCCACCAAGGCTCAACCTGCGCTGCAAGCCACTTAGTGCTAACGATGATGGCACTGGAGCCTACTCTCCTCCAGGCCCCAGATGGCGCACACTGAGGGCGGACTCACTGCCTCTCTGTCTGGACAGTCCCTCAACCACCCACACCAACTTGTTCAATGAGCTCAAAGGAAGTCAGGTCAGTAAAAACCAGTTTAGTTAAAAAACCAACGATGTGAAAGTTGTCTTTCCCCTCCTCTTTTTAAATGCATAATGGTCTTACAAAACTTACAAAGCCACTAGCTCAAAAGACTTTTGAAAGTGTTCAGCAAGCAAGCTGTCCTTCCAAACTAAAACATGCCACAGATGGCACCCAAAAGCAACCAGACTGTGAGTCTTTCAATGTGCTGAGCTTTTCAATGCCATCCCCGGCTGAGTCATGGTTCCCTGCCAGTCACACAGCAGGCATCAGTTGTGTCTGCTAAAGGTGTGTGGACAGGGTGAATGAAACTGGGCTCTGCTGGACAAATGTGTGTGATTTTGTACCAGCAGCACCATTTTCAGCCACAGCAAGTCTTCCTGCTTCTGATAACCACACATGTCCCCTGGCAGATGCTGTTCTATGACTCAAACTACCTCCGTCACAAGCTGGTGCAAGAGGTGGCACCTACACCCCCCAGAGGGCCTGTAAGAGCATGACCCCAGTCTCACCCAGTCTCACTGAGTAATAGAAGTCAGTGCAACTTGATCCTTTTTTTCAGCTCTGGAAGGTGCAGCCTCCTTGGCCCTGCTCTGCCTTGCCTGGTCCCACAGCCAGACTGGAGTGAGGAGCACCTCCCTCAGACAGATGCCATGCCAGCACTCTGCCTTGCAGAGGCATCATCCTCTGCCAGAAGCCCATGGAAGCCTCAGAGCCACAGGAGCAAAGTCTCTCTCAGAGGAAGACACTGGGGTGCAAGGTATCCCCTGTGCAGCCGCCAAGTTCACCACTTGCAAAAGCACAATATCACTTCCTCATCAGTGGGGCCCATCTGTTCCCCAGAGGCATCCTCAGCTGGAGCATGCCCACCATCTGAGTGCCCTGACTGCCTGCAAAGGATCCACGACCAGAGCATGCAACTGAAGCTGTAACTCAGCGCAGGGGATGGAAACTCCCGCCTGGACCCATGCAGCAGGCAGAGCATAGCCTGTGCCCCATAAGAAAAATGAGAAGAGGACCCAGGATGCAAGCATGAGTGGAGTGGCTGCCATCCATAAGACTCTTCAAAAGAGGCTTGCAGACAAGGAGAGGCAGCACTCCTCTTCACAGCCCCAAGCTTTATATCTCAGCAGCTCTTCCCAACAAAAGTACGAACTTAAACTCTCCTGGCCCCTGAATTAGATCAACAGGATGTACAATTTTGGTTGTAATTCAGCCTTTTTTGAGAACTCTCAATTCTCATCTCTACATTGACACAACTGGAAAGTCTGAATACCAAATAGAGCATTTACTTCTGCCAGACATACTCACAGGAGGGTCCAGTTGGCAGTGTATCTAACAGTACTCTGGGTGAGGGTTTTTCCCTCCCAGCCTTGCTCCTGTAAGAACAGCCAGTAAGCACACCAGCTGTACAAGATGGAATGACACAATGCTTATGAGAGGGGCACACACAATACTCAACCCACATGAACCTAGAAAATGAGCAATCCAAAACAAGAATGAGCCAGCTTTTTAGGAACTGATGGGGACCAACATCCAAGAGACTATTAAGTGAAACAGCAAGGTGAAAACAGTACACTCGTGTGCTGCCAACTGAGAATGCCCAGTAGTGGTGTTGGGCAGAGACAGAGTGGGTCCCAACTCTGATATAAGGAAGATCAGCCACCAACCTGAACCCTGCTTCTCCATAAGCTGGGAAACCGGGGCAGATTAAGTCCGTAGGTCCTGAATGGCACACTGACCTCAGTCCTTAGAGATTCTGTGTTCTCAAGGGGTAAGCCAGGGATGCCCAGCACAATCACTGTTGAGCTCCTCTATGATCCTAGTGCGGTGCTAGGAGGCCACCCGTCCCAACTTGTTATCCCAGTCCACACTCCTGGGCTGTGTGTGTGGCTCAGAGTAATGGCAGTGGGCAAAAGGATCTTCTCAGTGGACATTCCTACAACAGGGGCCACAGTGGAGAAAACCAAGGCCACTGTCACCCATGGAACAGGAGGGTAAGCCTGGATATTCTGTTTCAGACATCAATGCAAGATGGGACAAATATACCCTACAACCCAGCAATTCCACTCCAGGGTATGTATCAACAGAAACATGAGTACCAAGAATGGTGGGGTCAGCATGCTGAGAACAACCACAACTGAAAAACACCTGCATGGCTACGGCCAAAGTGTAAGTGATGCCTAAATCATGACTTAGCTATTCAATATAAAACAAAGGAACTAATGCTACACACAACATCAAAGATAAATCTCAAAATTGTCATGTGATAAGCCAGAAACAAAAGAATACATTCTATACTGGAGTGCAAGACTTCTTAATGGTGACAGAAGTGGAGGAAGTGGGGTCAGGGAGAGAAGGAGGTGGGGGAAGGGTGGAAAGTGATCAGGAAATAGAATAAGAGTGGCCTCTAGAGAAATACTCTATTTCTTGATCTGACCAGGGTGGGGGTTACTTGGATACACTGACTTCATAAACATTCATTGAAATGTAAAACTTACACCTTGAGTACTTTCTTTGTATGTATGCTATCTTATATAATAAGAATATGCAAACTGACCATACCTCCACCACGCCCACCAGCCACGTCCACCAGCCAATCAGAGTGAGTATGCAAATTACCCCCAACCAAGATGACTGCAGCCACAGAGAGCAGGAGGGAGGCTTGGATTTCCCAAGCAATGGAAGCCAAGCTTCCCACCTGCCCTAGCCGGCCTAAGCCTGCACTCAGGGCTACAAACTTTTAATTATAGAAGGTAAACAAATCCAAACAGTAATGGTGGCAGCCATGGAGCAAGCAAAAGGCTTGGCTCCGCTCCAAGCTACAACGTTTCAATTGTAGAAGGTAAATAAAATAAATTCCAGATACCAGGGCCTCCGCTTGGTTTGCCAGGGGGGCGTGGCTGACCTGCAAACCACCACAGGCCCCTCTCCCAGGCCGCCCCATGCCCCAAGAGAACCCCCATCCTGATCCGAGACACCCTTCAGGGCAAACCAGCCAGCCCCCATCCATGCACCAGGCCTCTAGTCTATCTAATAAAAGAATAATATGCAGATTGACCATCACTGCAATACCCAAGATGGCTGCCCCTATGTGGTCAAAGATCTTGCCCCTATGTGGACACAAGACAGCAACCACAAATGGCCAGGGGGAGGGGGGCAGTTGGAGGCAATCAACCTGCAGGGCGGGGCAGTTAGGGGTGACCAGGTCGGCAGAGGAGGGAAGTTGGGGGCAAACAGGCTGGCAGGAGAGCAGTTAAGCATAAATCAGGCTGGCATGGGAGTGGTTAGGGGGTGATCAGACTGGCAGGCAGAAGCGGTTAGGGGCAATCAGGAAGGCAGGCAGGTGAGCAGTTGGGAGCCAGCAGTCCTGGATTGTGAGAGGCAGTCACACATCCCTCAAGGGAGCCTAGAATGGAGAGGGTGCAGGCTGGGCTGAGGGATACCACCAACCCCTTCCACCTCCCCCGATGCACAAATTTCGTACACCAGGCCTCTAGTCCTATATAATAAAGAGGTGATATGCAAATTGACCATCACTGCAACACACAAGATGGCCGCCCCCATGTGGACACAAGATGACCACCACAGATGGCCAGCAGGGGAGGGCAGTTGTGGGTGATCAGAACAGCAGGAGAGAACACTTGGAGGCAACTAGGCCTGCAGGGGAGGGCAGTTGGGAGGGACAAGGCCTGCAGGGGAGGGCAGTTGGGAGTGACCAGACCAGCAGGGGAGGGAAGTTGGGGGTTACTAGGTCTGCAGAAGAAGGCAACTGGGAGGGGACAAGGCCTACCCCCAACTGGCCTACCCTGCTGACCTGATCACCCCCAAATGCCCTCCCCTGCTGATCTGGTCAGTTGGGGGTGACCAGACCAGCAGGGGAGGGCAGCTGGGGGCGACCAGGCTGGCAGGGGAGGGCAGTTGGGGGCCACCAGGCCTACAGGGGAGGGCAGTTAGGAGCAATCGGGCCAGCAGGGGAGCAATGAGGTGTCAATCAGGCTGGCAGGGGAGTGGTGAGGGGGTGATTAGGCTGGCAGGCAGAAGCAGTTAGGGGCAATTAGGCAGGCAAGCGGTTGGGAGCCAGCAATCCTGGATTGTGAGAGGGATGTCGACTGCCTGTTTAGGCCCGATCTCACCAGGCAATTGAACATCCCTCTGACAATCAATCTAGTAGTCCCAGATTGGAGAGGGTGTAGGCTGGGCTATGGAACACACACACACATACCCACACACAAATTTTGTGCACTGGGCCTCTAGTCTATATATATAAAAGCCTAAGCAACCATTATGACTGAATGATCAGAACGACCATTTGACCGATTGCTATGACACGCACTTACCACCAGGGGGCAGATGCTCAATACCAATGCAGGCGCTGCCCCCTGGTGGTCAGTGCAGTCCCACAGCTAACCTCCCATGGTCCCTACCCCTGGCCGGCAAACTTCTGTGGCTCCTCTCCACAGCCAGCCAACCTCCTGTGGGCCCTTCCCCCCAGCTAGCCAGTCCCAATCACCCCCATTGGAACCTCCCTTGGCCCCTTCCTCTCTTTTCCTCCCCTGCAGCCAGCCCTGATCTGCCCCAATCACCAGCCAGGCCAAGGAATACCCATGCATGAATTTGTGCACCAGACCTCTAGTACTTTAATAAGAATCTGATCTTAGAGGCCATCCTGTCGTAGAAACAAATGCCGGCCCTTCACTCCTTTCCTTCACAGAGGCACAGACTCTCTGAGAGTTCTGCAGAGCAAGGTCTGAAACCTGCTGCACCATGAGCCCAGGCTACCTCTGAGACACTCAGCATGCACTATGGTTCACAGCACATATAGAAACATGTCCACACATTCCTGCCTTGGGTAGGGGTCAGTCTGGGGAGATCAAGGGCATTCTGAAAGTTCCAGGAAAGGAGCACTCAGTAAGCAGCTCAGTGTTCCCAGGAGGAGCAAGTCTAAGGTTACCGGAACAAAACAAGCAGGCAGCTCCCACTGCCTGGGCATCACCTGCCAGCATGCTGGACATCCGTCCTCTACCACATGGTGGTCTCCTCTGAGACCACAAACCTCCACAGTATATATTGTGCTACTGCCCCAACAAGGAAGCAAGAGCACTTGTGACATACCTGGCCACATTTTCATTTTTTACCTAACCTGCTAACCTAACCTATTAAAGTCACTCTAGGCCTGCCTCCATGCAACTATAAAACATCTGGAAGAAAATGTAGGAGGAAAATCTTAGTGATCTTAAGTTTGGCAAAGACTTAAAATATGACAAAAAGCACACACTATAGAGAAAAAACATGAATTGGATTTCACCAAAGTTGAAAAATCTTTGCTCTTCAAAAATGACACTGTTGTGAAAATGAAAAGACAAGTCGCAGACTGGGAAATATGTATATATATTGGCATATAATTCATTCATCCATTCATATCAATCATATATCTAAGAGAGGACTTGTACCTAAAACATATAAAAACTCTCTCAAGTGAATAATTACACAAAGAACCCAAAACGGGGGTTAGGGGAGGATGGGCAAAGATCTAAAACCACCACGAGACACTCCTACATACCTATTAGAATGACTGAAATGAAAAAGACTAACTAACCATACCCAGTGATGGCCAAGACATGGAACATTCTCATACACTCTGGGTGGGAGTTTAAGTGGTATAATCACCTTGGAAGACATTTTGGCAGATTCTTAAATTCTATCAACATATGAATGGATAAATGAATTATATGCCCATAAAATGAAATACTATTCAGCAGCAACAACAAAATGAACTATTAATGTACAGAGTGCATGAATCTCAAAATAGCCATGCTGAATGAGAGAAAAGCCCAGGCCAAAATAAAAGAAAAAAGAGTATATATTACATGATTCACAAAATTCCAGACTAATCTACAATGACAGAAAGCAGATCAGCAGTTGCCTGGGGACAGGGGTGGGCTGGGAAAATTACAAAGGAGTAAGAGGAAACTTCTGAAAATTATAGAAATGTTTAGTATCTTGACTGTGCTGATGATTTCTTACATGTACTTATAGGTCAAATGTAGCAAATGGTACACTTTAGAAGTACACAGTTTACTGTACATTAGTTATACCTCAATAGAGCTATAAAACAACTGTAGAGGCAGATGATAGGTGCAACAAGGTCCTGGAAAAGTAGGAAAGTAGTAGGCAAAGAGAAGGAAGGCTCTGTTGAAAGTGAGGTATCAGATCCCCTTGGTGACTTAGCCCTACCTGGGGGTGAAGAATAGAGCAGAAAAGTTACTTCTCACCTCTGTAAAATGAAGAGGACTGTCATGCCTGGGCATTCAAGGGTATAGTAAGAACCAAACAACAACTGCAAAGTGTGTGTAATGCATTCTTCATAGCAGAAGGGACTCTGGCAGGCATCAGTAAACAACAGCTTTTCCCTCTGGGACATTCTGCGTGCCCCCATAACACTTGTGTAGCCAAGAGCAGGAGACTCACCATGCTGCAGCTGGGTGTTTTCTATGTTGTGAAATAAAAGGCTCACTAGCCTGGCTGGTGTGGCTCAGTGAATGAACATCAACCTGTGAACCAGGAGGCCATGGTTCCATTCTCCATCAGGGCACATGCTGGGTTTCTGGCTCAATATCCAGTAGGGGGCATGCATGAGGCAGCTGATCAATGATTCTCTTATCATTGATATTTCTCTCTCTCTCTTCCTGTCACTTCCTCTTTGAAATCAATAAAAATATACTTTTTAAAATAAAATAAAAGGCCCACCAGTCATCAAGGGCTAAATTTAAGGACATGAATTCTTTTTAGCCCAGCTGCAAGGTTTCATTATACTTTAACTGGAGACCCAGGAGAGGGAGCCAACTTCCCAGGTGAGCACCCACAAATATCTGCACAAAGTCTGAGGCCAGTAGTCGGCAAATTCGTTAGTCAACAGAGCCAAATATCAATAGTACAACAATTGAAATTTCTTTTGAGAGCCAAATTTTTTAAACTTAAACTTCTTTTAATGCCACTTCTTCAAAACAAACTCACCCAGGCTGTGGTATTTTATGGAAGAGCCACACTCAAGGGCCAAAGAGCCGCATGTGGCTCACAAGCCACAGTTTGCCAACCACGGTCTTAGGCAAATGACAGTTTGAGTGATAAATATTCATCCTCCTGACATGGGAATAGCCTCAGTGCTTCTCCCTCTCTGAGCGCTACATGATTTTTTTCCAGTCATAGGGAATTAAGCTCCTATGACTGATTTTTTTCTGAAACCCCAACTTTTCCCCCTTCAGCTGAGTTAGATCCTTACTACTCTCAAGTGTGGCCTACAGTCAACCAGACCAGTGTTCCTGGGAGCCAACTGCACTCACACAATCTCTGCTCAAGCCCAGACTTCCTGGATCAGAAGCTGTATTTTAATAAGCCCATGAGATTCACACAGAGAGATGATGGGCATAACCAATCCTTCCAAAGCCATGGGTTTTGCTTGGCATGTTGTGTCCAGCCAATTCGGATCCTCCCCATCAATTAATGCACACCAGCACCACCTTCACTTTACTAT